TCTTATACTTTGGTTTTTTTCTGTTGAAAATAAAAATATTTTGTAAATCCTAGAGGGTGTCTTATAAAGTACAAATTGAGGCTTGTTCACTTTTTTAACAAACTATATACGTTATCTATATCTCACATGTGATTTATCTATCAATATTCAATTTCTTATTTCTATAACAAATCTTCCTTGTTTGGATTCTGTGACAGGGACATGTACAAGAACATTATCTTTCAGTGCGCTAAAAAGATTCATGGTTATCTCTACTCTGCTATGTGGGGTTCACAAAAGTCAAAACTATGAACCTAAATCTTCTCACTCATGGGCATATATGGATTCTCCTTTCACAAGTTGCTTCATCCATCAAATAATTAACATGGAGACTTGCCTGATATTGATAGCAACCTTACATGGCAAAAAGGAAGGGTTAATTGTACAGACTACCATGTTTAATACTTGTTTACAAGTTACTATCCATGTAGTTTCATCATTGCAGATAGACCTTCTGATTAAATTCTTTTAACTCTTTTACCCTCGAATAGACTGTTAAGTTCAACCAACACAATATATAATAGTAAGTTCAAAGCAACGATACTGCAGGGGTCCTTGTGCAATGACCCTAAAAAGAAAAGAGGATGTAACACTACCAAAACAAAAGATTTTCTATAACTTTAGGATCAACTTCATGAATCTTACTTCACATTCAATTTTGTTAAGGCTCATCTAATCAGTAAAGTTAACCATGATTGTATATTTATGTTAGCATTTCTCACAACTGGTGCATTTAGTAACACTAGGTTTATGCACGTGCGATGCACGTGGTTAAATATCATGATTAAATAATTTTGGTTTATTTCTTTATTAAAATTTATTCCTCGATTCTACTTTGATATTTTTTTTCTCATTTATGTCTCTAAACTTTAGCATTATGATTATTATTATTTTTTATGTTTATTTAAATGAGCTACCCTCAATTTATATTTTCACATTGACAATTGAATCTATAAGAAACAAATGTAATCCACGCCAATTCGAATTATCATGTGATTTGGACCGACATGAAACCAGGCTTGACCTGAGAAAGTATAGTATTGTAAAAGTAAAAAAACACATGAAAAAATAGCGTTATAAAAGGAAGATGAATAACTAAAGCTAATAAAACAAGATGATTGGTTATAAGTGGGATAAAACGATACAAAAGAGAATATAAAGTTTGTTCCTAATCCTTGAAAGACTTTAACAAAATCATAAACTAAAGATTAATGTTAACTCTAGTACACTTTTATACGATAAAAGCTTTTAGATAAGTATATAAAAGTACTAAAGAAGTTTATGAAAATCTCTTCTAAAGATTCTTAGTTTACTCAAAAAAATAGTTTCTATAAAACATTCAGAAAACATTATCTTTCATTCCTTCTATTTTATTTTTTACTGAGTCAACATCAATCATTCTCTACCTTTATCTCTTTCAATAAAATTAGACTATTTTCACATACTGAAAAGGGATGTAAAGGAAGTTAAATTTATATATCTTAATGAAAGAATATCAAACAACAACTATTTTCTTTGCTAAGTTTTAAAATTTTAGAATTTTTTATGATTTTGAATTTTTAGGGTGTGTTTTACAAATGTTAAAACTTTGAGAGTATTTTTTAAAATTTTTGAATTTTAAATTTGATGCTTTGTAATTTTCATGTTTCATGTGTTGATGGTATGTTTTCGAATATCAGGATATTTCTTGCAACTTTAAAATTTTAAGGGTGTTTTTGTAATTATCAAAACTTTAGACTATTTTTTTGTAAAATTCAAAATTTTAGTGGTCTGTTAATAATACAATGTGTACTGGTTATAAGTATTGAAATTTTAGTGTTTTTTTTGTGATTTCTAACTTTTAAATGAGTTCTTTTTGTAATTTTTATAACCTTGAGGTCATTTTTTTTTACAAATTTTAAATTTTAAGGTGCCTGATGTTAATCTCCTGAATTTGTCTTTATTATTTGTAAGTTTTGAAATTTTAGAATTTCAAGGCGTTTTTTATTATTTAAACTTTTGAGGGTGTTTCTACAATTTTTAAAACGTTAAGGGTATTAATTATAAATTTTAAATTCTTCAGAGGTTGCTATTATTTTTCAGATTCATGTTTGTTTTTTTAATTTTGGAAATGTTAAGATGTTTCGTGTAATTTAAACTTTTGAGTGTATTTTATGTAATTTTTAAAACTTTTTGGGTTTTTTGTAATACTTTATATATAGCAAGTTAGTTCTTTACCTTACAAACTAATATTGTGGAGCTCTTTCATGTATTTTATTAATTATATATATTTTTAAATTGTTGTGTTGTGGGTAGTTCACATGCGATTAGAACAGGATATAGTTATGATTAGGATAGATTAAGATTTTAAAAAATATTCAAAATAGTGAATGGTAATATTGACCATAGAAAGTTTTTCCCGAAATCGTACTTTTTAAGTATATATATATAGAGAGAGAGAGATTAATGGGTATCCTTGTCATAGGAGGGGATTTCCTCATTGACGCCTCTAAAATCACATGATTGAGCGATATTGTGGATGATTCGCTCCGTTGAACTTGATCTACATATTTTAAAACCCCAACACACCAAGTTTGGGGTGAATCCGTCGTCGTTTGACCCTCCATCGAGCCATGTGAAAAGTTCTATTCATTCAAAACCATTAAAATTGATACGAGTGGATGATGGGTCAAACGACGACGGGTTCACCCCAAACTTGGTGTGTTAGGGTTTTAGAATATGTAGATCAAGTTCAACGGAGCGGATCATCCACAATGTCGCTCAATCATGTGATTTTAGAGGCGTCATAGGAGGAAATCCCCTCCTATGACAAGGATACCCATTAATCTCATATAATATATATATATATTATATATATATATATTGTATATATATATATATAGTATTATATATAATTACTATATATATATAAAAGATTAATTTACCCACCTGTAATACATGACTTTCATGAAACAAAAAGGTTCATGTATATATTTTTTAAAAAAGTTTAATTATAGAAAAGAAGTACAACAAAAGGCCTCCCTTGGAGAGCATGGCTCACGCTAGTCCAAGGTAGCAAAATACAGTAGAAAGTCAGGCCTCAAAACCGTAATCGAAAGCAAAACACGGAGCAGAAACAAACGCTGGTGCCAAACAAAAATATAATCAACGACCGCGCAAATACGGGTGACCCTGATCCACAGCATCTTGCGTCATCAAGTTCCCTAATTGTGGGATATCGATAGAGGCCCTCCAAGTTATGGTAGGAAGGACAGCTGGTTGAGGTTATGGCCATTCTTGGAGAGATGATCGATCAGCCACCTGGTTACCCTCCCTGTAGCAATGAGATACCTGCACAGAGTTTACTTGGAGCTTATGGTGCGTGTTGTGTCAAATATTAGTGAGTTAATTGCTGGAACGGGCTACCCTTCCCGATCAGGTCCACGAGGAACTTGAAGTTGGTCCCAGCATTGGTTGGCAACAGACCAAGGTCATCAACCAGATCGGCCCCAACAGCAACAGCAAGAGCCTTCACCTCAACATGATGGGTTGGAACCTCGACCCGCAGGACACAGCAACAAAAGAGCCCCCATGGTCTCTGGTGACCCCGCTCGCAGCAGTCACATTTTGGACGCAGGAGCCATCAACGTTCAAAACAAACTCACTGGGTTTGGGGAGGCTCCGCACACAAGAAAAACTTGGTTTGAATTATGAGTGATCTTGAATTGATGCCGATGTGGAGATGAGAGAATCCTGGTCATATCTAGAGAAGTACATCAAAGGCTTCATAGCAGAGCCAAGATGCTGAAGAGTGTCAAATCACTACGAGTCTAGGTCAAAGAAAACCCTTCACCATGCCATCATAGATGCAATTGTTTCTATAACTCCATATTTGCCTACAAATGGCAATGCAACTTAGTCTCCCCATAATCAAGAATTGAGATTTCCCTTTGCACTTTATAAAACACCATTTGATTCTTGAATAAATGGTCTGTTGAGGAAAATATGGCACCGCAAGAGGGACACTGAAATACTTCCATAAAGAATGAGCAAGTTAAACTTTTTGATTAAAGATGGTCCAGAGTCTCCTCATTGTGATCCTTTGCAGCAAACGCCTTTGGATGCGAAAGAAAACCTCTTTGTTTAGCCAAGAAGTCAACTAGCAAGATTTTATGAAGCAATCTCCAGCGCACTAGCTTTGATGAGAGTGGCATGATAGTGGACCAAATTTCATCAAGCAACGGATCAGGCTGTTGCTGAGCTCTAAGAGAATTCCATGCAGGCTTTATGGTAAAAATTCCATTCCAGCCTTATCAGGGGACCAATGCCTAACATCATCCTTCTCCTTGATAGTCGGGGCAAAATCAAGCAAGAACTAAATTGACTCATGACCTAACAAAGGCTCCACGTCATCAAAATTCCATGCACCGTTCTCATCAAAGTCCCCTTTAACATTGGTATCCTCGTCATCACAAAGGAAAGCAAGAGAAAAATTGAGGGAGTCATTTATCATTATACCCAAAGGAGAGATCCCCTCTACCAACAATCCAAGAACAGACAGAGTGAGGAGAAAAAGTAGCTCAACAGATGATATATCTTTCCACTCTTTAGAGGAACGAAGAGGACCAGTCCAAGAGGAGTATAGCCGATCTTATACTTGTTACGCATGAAAGAAGCCAAGATGTGGTCAGAATTGCATAATCGCTAATACTGCTCGAGGAGAAAAGCAGACTCTCGCCCCCAAAAGATTTCTTACTCTTAGACCCCCTTCACTGACAGGGAAACATATTTTTCTCCACTTGAGCCAATCATTATCACTGAATGAAATATAAAACCCATACCTCATACACTACCAAATGTCATGCATTATTTACAGACCTAAAGAAAACCGGAGGACTACTGTACTAAGAAAAGCTCAATATTAGTGATGCTGAAAGGGATACTAAGATAAAAAAATGCTCACTAATCTTAGGCACTTGAAATAAGAATAACGTGTCCTCCACAAAAAGGACCAAAAGTGGATAAGAGCAAAAAGAACACTCTATCAACCGATCAAGTAAAAAGTCCTCCGATCAAGTAAAAAGTCAGAAATAAACTATAGGTGTGAAGAAATCCAGGGGAAGTGTTCAAATTTACCGAACAAATTTACTTGACAACAATTTTGTTAACAACAACAAACCAATAGACATCTACGTAATTTTCTTCCCATTAGGAGGTGGAAACTGTGCTCTCTTCAGTACCAACACTTTCAGCTTGGACCACCGTCCTCCTCATGAGGGACTTAGGAATGTCAAGGTCATCTTGGATGCAACGCTGGTCCGGGTGGCAGAGAAGCATGCTAAGGTGGCGGATGACAACTCGACTGAGCCCTTGCCCACTCTCCAAAATGTAGCCCTCGTGCTGCGTCACGTGCTCCAGGGCATCGACGAGACGGTCATAGACCCTCTGTGGGCAGTTCTCAGTGCTGGGCTTGTCATGGAGATAGACAACGTCCAGAGTGAAGTTCTTCTCGTTCACCGGCCATCTGTGCTCGGGCGGAGTTGATGATCTACAGTAGATCAGTATCTGAAATAGGAAGAGGTATTGATGTTAGATACTTTTCCTCTTTGGAAGAAACCAATACATATGAGATTGTATAATTAGATTAAATATTAACAATAACCGTGCGAGCAAATATAAAATTTTTTCATGAGACGTCTAAAGCAGTCTGCCTGAAATTGCATTTGGAAGTGTCCGGTCTAGTGGACCTAAGTAGAAAGAGGAAGAAAGGGTGATGTGAAACAATGTGTATGCAGGTATGAAGAATAGCGACAACAATCCTTTACCAAATCAGCGATCGATCTAGACAGGAAACTCGAGAAGAAGGTGAAGCTCTAGATGGTTTTAAAACAAAAGTTACAAATGTACTAAGTTTACGGCCTTTTAAATAATTCAGAAAATAAATGTAATGATTCGTTCTCATAATAAAGTTCGACTTGTAATATTTGGACCAGCAGATATACGTGGCAACAGAACACTCGCTCACTAATCAAGCAGAATATAGCACAATCACAATTGATATTAAAATTGATAATAACATGCACACGATAACAAATCCTAAAATACTAGGCCGAAAGAAAACGAAACATTCGTCGGTCTAAACAGGCTCGACGTGAGGGACCTCTAGAGGTGGTGCGACGATGAGCTGGACGACGATGTGTGCGACGGCATCGAACTGGGCTATCAAGTGGCGAAGGGTCGACGGGTGAACTAGCGACGACAACGGCGTCGAACTGAGCGACGACAACGACAGTGAACTGAGCGACGACGACGTGTGAGGGCGACGGGACGATGTGACGTCTGGCTGGACGATGCGGTCAGCTGCAGGATCGGTGGCGGCTGCCCGAGTGAAGGAGGGCAGGGGAATCCGTCGGGTGATGGCTGCTCGGTTGAGGGT